GAAAAAGAGACTTGAAGCAAGAGAAACAAAGAAAAGAGTACTGAACTGTTATGTAATATCTGTCCTCCTATATGGCAGTGTATGCTGGACAATCTCCTCACAGATGAAAAAGAGACTTGAAGCAAGAGAAACAAAGAGAGTACTGAACTGTTATGTAATATCTGTCCTCCTATATGGCAGTGTATGTATGGACAATCTCCTCACAGATGAAAAAAGAGACTTGAAGCAAGAGAAACAAAGAGAAGAGTACTGAACTGTTATGTAATATCAGTCCTCCTATATGACAGTGAATGCTGGACAATCTCCTCACAGAGGAAGAAGAGACTTGAAGCAAGAGAAACAAAGAAAAGAGTACTGAACTGTTATGTAATATCAGTCCTCCTATATGGCAGTGAATGCTGGACAATCTCCTCACAGATGAAGAAGAGACTTGAAGCAAGAGAAACAAAGAAAAGAGTACTGAACTGTTATGTAATATCTGTCCTCCTATATGGCAGTGTATGCTGGACAATCTCCTCACAGATGAAGAAGAGACTTGAAGCAAGAGAAACAAAGAAAAGAGTACTGAACTGTTATGTAATATCTGTCCTCCTATATGGCAGTGAATGCTGGACAATCTCCTCACAGAGGAAGAAGAGACTTGAAGCAAGAGAAACAAAGAAAAGAGTACTGAACTGTTATGTAATATCAGTCCTCCTATATGGCAGTGAATGCTGGACAATCTCCTCACAGATGAAGAAGGACTTGAAGCAAGAGAAACAAAGAAAAGAGTACTGAACTGTTATGTAATATCAGTCCTCCTATATGGCAGTGTATGCTGGACAATCTCCTCACAGATGAAGAAGAGACTTGAAAGAATAGAAACAAAGAAAAGAGTACTGAACTGTTATGTAATATCAGTCCTCCTATATGGCAGTGAATGCTGGACAATCTCCTCACAGATGAAAAAGAGACTTGAAGCAAGAGAAACAAAGAAAAGAGTACTGAACTCTTATGTAATATCTGTCCTCCTATATGGCAGTGTATGCTGGACAATCTCCTCACAGATGAAAAAGAGACTTGAAGCAAGAGAAACAAAGAAAAGAGTACTGAACTGTTATGTAATATCTGTCCTCCTATATGGCAGTGTATGCTGGACAATCTCCTCACAGAGGAAGAAGAGACTTGAAGCAAGAGAAACAAAGAAAAGAGTACTGAACTGTTATGTAATATCAGTCCTCCTATATGGCAGTGAATGCTGGACAATCTCCTCACAGATGAAGAAGCGACTTGAAGCAAGAGAAACAAAGAAAAGAGTACTGAACTGTTATGTAATATCAGTCCTCCTATATGGCAGTGTATGCTGGACAATCTGCTCACAGATGAAGAAGAGACTTGAAAGAATAGAAACAAAGAAAAGAGTACTGAACTGTTATGTAATATCAGTCCTCCTATATGGCAGTGAATGCTGGACAATCTCCTCACAGATGAAGAAGAGACTTGAAAGAATAGAAACAAAGAAAAGAGTACTGAACTGTTATGTAATATCAGTCCTCCTATATGGCAGTGTATGCTGGACAATCTCCTCACAGATGAAGAAGAGACTTGAAAGAATAGAAACAAAGAAAAGAGTACTGAACTGTTATGTAATATCAGTCCTCCTATATGGCAGTGAATGCTGGACAATCTCCTCACAGATGAAGAAGAGACTTGAAGCAAGAGAAACAAAGAAAAGAGTACTGAACTGTTATGTAATATCTGTCCTCCTATATGGCAGTGTATGCTGGACAATCTCCTCACAGATGAAAAAAAAGACTTGAAGCAAGAGAAACAAAAGAAAAGAGTACTGAACTCTTATGTAATATCTGTCCTCCTATATGGCAGTGTATGCTGGACAATCTCCTCACAGATGAAAAAAAAGACTTGAAGCAAGAGAAACAAAGAAAAGAGTACTGAACTGTTATGTAATATCTGTCCTCCTATATGGCAGTGTATGCTGGACAATCTCCTCACAGATGAAAAAGAGACTTGAAGCAAGAGAAACAAAGAGAAGAGTACTGAACTGTTATGTAATATCAGTCCTCCTATATGGCAGTGAATGCTGGACAATCTCCTCACAGATGAAGAAGAGACTTGAAGCAAGAGAAACAAAGAAAAGAGTACTGAACTGTTATGTAATATCTGTCCTCCTATATGGCAGTGTATGCTGGACAATCTCCTCACAGATGAAGAAGAGACTTGAAGCAAGAGAAACAAAGAAAAGAGTACTGAACTGTTATGTAATATCTGTCCTTTTATATGGCAGTGAATGCTGGACAATCTGCTCACAGAGGAAGAAGAGACTTGAAGCAAGAGAAACAAAGAAAAGAGTACTGAACTGTTATGTAATATCAGTCCTCCTATATGGCAGTGAATGCTGGACAATCTCCTCACAGATGAAGAAGAGACTTGAAGCAAGAGAAACAAAGAAAAGAGTACTGAACTGTTATGTAATATCAGTCCTCCTATATGGCAGTGTATGCTGGACAATCTCCTCACAGATGAAGAAGAGACTTGAAAGAATAGAAACAAAGAAAAGAGTACTGAACTGTTATGTAATATCAGTCCTCCTATATGGCAGTGAATGCTGGACAATATCCTCACAGATGAAGAAGAGACTTGAAGCAAGAGAAACAAAGAAAAGAGTACTGAACTCTTATGTAATATCTGTCCTCCTATATGGCAGTGTATGCTGGACAATCTCCTCACAGATGAAAAAAGACTTGAAGCAAGAGAAACAAAGAGAAGAGTACTGAACTGTTATGTAATATCAGTCCTCCTATATGGCAGTGAATGCTGGACAATCTCCTCACAGAGGAAGAAGAGACTTGAAGCAAGAGCAACAAAGAAAAGAGTACTGAACTGTTATGTAATATCAGTCCTCCTATATGGCAGTGAATGCTGGACAATCTCCTCACAGATTAAGAAGAGACTTGAAGCAAGAGAAACAAAGAAAAGAGTACTGAACTGTTATGTAATATCAGTCCTCCTATATGGCAGTGTATGCTGGACAATCTCCTCACAGATGAAGAAGAGACTTGAAGCAAGAGAAACAAAGAGAAGAGTACTGAACTGTTATGTAATATCAGTCCTCCTATATGGCAGTGTATGCTGGACAATCTCCTCACAGATGAAAAAGAGACTTGAAGCAATAGAAACAAAGAAAAGAGTACTGAACTGTTATGTAATATCTGTCCTCCTATATGGCAGTGTATGCTGGACAATCTCCTCACAGATGAAGAAGAGACTTGAAGCAAGAGAAACAAAGAGAAGAGTACTGAACTGTTATGTAATATCAGTCCTCCTATATGGCAGTGAATGCTGGACAATCTCCTCACAGATGAAGAAGAGACTTGAAGCAAGAGAAACAAAGAAAAGAGTACTGAACTGTTATGTAATATCAGTCCTCTTATATGGCAGTGAATGATGGACAATCTCCTCATAGATGAAGAAGAGACTTGAAGCAAAAGAAACAAAGAAAAGAGTACTGAACTGTTATGTAATATCAGTCCTCCTATATGGCAGTGAATGCTGGACGATTTCCTCACAAAAAGACAAATTTTATTAAGAACTACAAGAAAACGTGGAGAGCTACGATCGCCAACATTCTGTGTTATTTCGATCATTTCAATTTACAGACAATTCACAGAAACCTATCCTTTTTGAAATCAGGTCGGTGGGGGCTGTTGTGTGTTGCGTTTTTTTTCAGGAGTGCCTTTGATATTTCACAATCAGCGTGTCAAACTCGACCTCATCTCGTCGACTGGGCAGTTTTAATTAATTAATTAAGTTTCTAAAGTAATTGGCTCATCAACTCTGTTTGGTGGAGACGTGTTTATAGGCTCTCGATTTCACACGATTTATATAGATTTCATTTTTTTTTCTTCTGCAAAAAGGCAACTTTGGTTTGTTTATTTCTGTGAAGAACTGCTAAAAGCAAAGATTCCAAATTCTGTGAAGAACTGTGAAGATTCCAAAGCAAATGAGGTCGAAAATGTTCTCTTAATGATTATGGGATTATTTACGTTGTGCAGGATTAAAATATGAAACCCAAGGTTTTATTCTTGCTGCACAGGATTAATGCTTGCTAACTAGAAAAAAAGTTGTGTTAACCCAAAATGCAGATAAATATCCAGAAACAATTGACCATATTTTATCAGGTTGCAAGGTAATTGGCACCCACTGAATATAAAACCCAGCATGACAGAGTGGGCCAATATCTGCCCTGGAAAATCTGCAACTTCTACGGAAAGGCAACTGCAAGAAATTGATATGAACACCACCCAGAGCCGGTTAAGGAGTAAGGACTCGTAACAATTTTAGGGGACGTTAAAATACACACAGACAGAACAATAAAAGCTAATCACCCTGACATCGTGATTAGAGACCGCAAAAACAGCATGTGCCTCCTTATTGACATGCCAGTCACTGCAGACTGCAATGTATCTTTGAAGACCTTCAAAAAACTATCAAAATACAAGGACTTTGAAATCGAAATCTCAAAAATGTAGCGATTGAGGACATTACAAATTTCAGTTGTTTTTGGATCCCTCAGATTGATTGGAAGGGATTCCAATAGACTCATTGAAAGAAAACCTGGTAGCCAATGCTTTAGGGAGATACAAAATATTGTACTCAGAAGTACAACAAACACATTACAAAGGGCTTTGTCTATGTAAAACATGTACATTTTTCTCTCAAACTGCTCAGTGGAAAATGTCATGGTGCCATTTATGACCTTAGGTCTCTGGTTGGGACCCGGAAAGAAATTAGTATACACCAGATACCAAAGGAAATAAAACAATATTAATAATAACAGGTCACTGGTTAGGACTCCGAAGGAAATATGTGTACAACAGAAACAAAAGGTACTAAGATTATTCATATCTATCTATCTATCTATCTATCTATCTATCTATCTATCTATCTATCTATCTATCTAAAACTATTCACATCTATCACTCAGTTCTATCTATTTATATATGACTATTCATATCTATCTATCTATCTATCTATCTATCTATCTATCTATCTATCTAACACTATTGATATCTATCTATCTATCTATCTATCTATCTAACACTATTCATATCTATCTATCTATCTATCTATCATCTATCTATCTATCTATTCTATCTATCTATCTATCTATCTATCTAACACTATTCATATCTATCTATCTATCTATCTATCTATCTATCTATCTATTCACATCTATCTCTCTGTTTTTTTCTATTTATATATGATTATTCATATCTATCTATCTATCTAGCACTATTCATATCTATCTATCTATCTATCTATCTATCTATCTATCTATCTATCAAAGGATTCATATCTAAGACCATTCATATCTATCTATCTATCTATCTATCTATCTATCTAACACTATTCATATCTATCTATCTATCTATCTATCTACCTATCTATCAAAGACTATTCATATCTAAGACTATTCATATCTATCTATCTATCTATCTATCTATCTATCTAAGACTATTCATATCTAAGACCATTCATATCTATCTATCTATCTATCTATCTATCTATCTATCTATCTAACACTATTCATATCTATCTATCATTCATATCTTATCTATCTATCTATCTATCTATCTATCTAACACTTCATATCTATCTATCTATCTAAGACTATTCACATCTATCTCTCTGTTCTATCTATTTATATATGACTATTCATATCTATCTATCTATCTATCTATCTATCTATCTATCTATCAAAGACTATTCATATCTAAGACCATTCATATCTATCTATCTATCTATCTATCTATCTATCTATCTATCTATCTAACACTATTCATATCTATCTATCTATCTATCTATCTATCTATCTATCTATCTATCTATCTAAGACTATTCACATCTATCTCTCTGTTCTATCTATTTATATATGACTATTCATATCTATCTATCTATCTATCTATCAAAGACTATTCATATCTAAGACCATTCATATTTATCTATCTATCTATCTATCTATCTATCTAACACTATTCATATCTATTCTATCTATCATCTATCTATCTATCTATTATTCATCTATTTATATAAGACTATTCACATCTATCTCTCTGTTCTATCTATCTATTTATATATGACTATTCTATCTATCTATCTATCTATCTATCTATCAAAGACTATTCATATCTAAGACCATTCATATCTATCTATCTATCTATCTATCTATCTATCTATCTAAGACTATTCACATCTATCTCTCTGTTCTATCTATTTATATATGACTATTCATATCTATCTATCTATCTATCTATCTATCTATCAAAGACTATTCATATCTAAGACCATTCATATTCATCTATCTATCTATCTAAGACTATTCACAACTATCTCTCTGTTCTATCTATTTATATATGACTATTCATATTCATCTATCTATCTATCTATCTATCTACCTATCTATCAAAGACGATTCATATCTAAGACCATTCACATATCTATCTATCTATCTATCTATCTATTTATCTATCTATCTATCTAAGACTATTCACATCTATCTCTGTTCTATCTATTTATATATGACTATTCATATCTATCTATCTATCTATCTATCTATCTATCAAAGACTATTCATATCTAAGACCATTCATATCTATCTATCTATCTATCTAAGACTATTCACATCTATCTCTCTGTTCTATCTATTTATATATGACTATTCATATCTATCTATCTATCTATCTACCTATCTATCAAAGACGATTCATATCTAAGACCATTCATATCTATCTATCTATCTATCTATCTATCTATCATACTGAATAATTTGAACCAAATTCAAATGTCCCACACAATGGCGATTTTCTCCTTTCTATTTTTGTTTCGTGTCAATTATCAGCTTTTTTTTTTCTTGTTCTTGTCCACTTCATCGTTGGTTGCTCAATTTCCGGTTCAATCAACGCCATCAGTGGTCACTTCGCTGGACACATATGTCTTCATTTATTATTCAGGACGTCAACTTGATGATAATATTCTGTGTAGCTCTTTCTGGTCACCACTCACCGCTTATCGAAAATTGTTCCGAAAAGATGCCCCCTCTTAACGCTTTCTTCTCTCGGCTACGAGATTCATTTTTCCAATTATTTTCATCTTGTACAAGGCTCGAAAGCCACTCTAGGTTTACAGATTAAGAAGCACAGTTTACATTGTTATGTGCGGAAGATAATGGTTAACCCCAGACCTGAAGAGGTTAAGATTGTAGTGACCGGGGAAGCATCCTCTTGGGAGTCGGTTCCACTAAGCAGGTAGAGGGTTACAGAGTAAGAGGCACAGTTTATGTGGATATGTGGTTAAGCCTAGACCTTAAGCAAATGGTTAAGCCTAGACCTTAACTCGTTAAGATTGTAGTGATCGGGGAAGCATCCTCCTGGGAGTCGTTTCCACAAAACAGGTAGAAGGTTATAGATTAAGAGGCTCGGTTTATACAGATATGTGGGGAAGATAACGGTTAACTCTAGTCTTGAAGTGGTTAAGACTGTAGGATCAGGGGAGCATCCTCTTAGGAGTCAGTTCTATAAAGCAGGTAGACGGTTACACGTGTATATATCTTCGCTACATCCTCATGATTCTCACCTGAGAACCTGACTAGTTACTAATCTGTATGAAGAGCTTGTTAGCCAGTTATCTTGCATTGGATATGTAGAGCTGAAAGACTCCATCTTAAATCCCTAATAAGAACGCTATATTAAAATCATAATGGTAAAACTACATATGAAAAATGTTTGCAAATTCTTATTGGAAGTAAAAAAAATATATAAAATATCTTATACAGGAAGACTACAAAACTTTCTTGCAGATTCACTTGAAATAAATCTGCTGAAATTTCTTATTAGAAAAACACAAAAGTTACTATAAAGCAGAACAATGCAATAGCAACAAATAACTAAATTCGGATCCTCAATTACTTTGTTGCATGTCGTATATTTGGCCGCAAACAGATACTGAATGGCGGTAGAAGACAACAACAACAAAGAAGAAGACGTGAGTAAATAAATATATTGCCAAATTTATTTTCGGTAAAGGTTACAGTGCACTAAGCCAAATATCTGTGGGTACTCATGTAGAGGAGAAGAGCATTGTCCTGAAAGGGAGGGTTTTGTAGTCACTGGAGATTTTTGTTGTGAAAAAGGAGTGTTTTGAAGTCGCTGGAGTACTTTGTTTGTCCTGAAAAGGAGAGTTTTGTAGTCGCCGGAGAGTTTTGTCTTGAAAAGGAGAGTTTTGTAGTCTCTGGAGAATTTGACCTGAAAAAGAGAGTTTTATAGTGGCTGGAGAGTTTTATCCTGAAAAGTAGGGCTTCGTAGTCACTGGAGTATTTTATCCTAAAAAGAGAGTTTTGTGGTCGTTGGACATTTTTGTCATGAAAAGGAGACTTTGTAGTCGCTGGAGACCTTTATACTGATAAGAAGGGCTTTGTAGTCGCTGGAGTATTTTACCATGAAAAAGAGAATTTTGTGGTCGCTGAAGATTTTTGAAGGTTTGTAGTCTCTGGAGAGTTTTGTCATGAAAAGGATAATTTTGTAGTCGCTGGAGAGATTTATCCTGAAAAGAAGGGCGTTGTAGTCGTTCGAATGCCTTGTCCTGAAAAGCAAGGTTTTGTAGTGGCTGGAGTACTTTGTCCTGAAAAGAAAAGTTTTATATTCGCTGGAGATTTTTTTTTTTTTGAAAAAGGAGTGTTTTGCAGTCGCTGGCGTACTTTGTATGTCCTTAAAAGGAGAGTTTTGTAGTCGCCGGAGACTTTTGTCCCGAAAAGGAGGGTTTTGTAGGCGCTAGAGAGGACAGTTTCTTGTATATGGTTGCAGTTTGGGAGGGTGGCTCGGTATCTAGTTGCGATATTTTTCGATGCTTTGAGCCCTTTACATATCCTGAAACCCTTTTACAATGATTTCTGGTTAAGCTTTTCCTTCCGATTAAGTTCAACCCAATAGCCTCTTGGACTTTGGGGGCTTACAGTACCAGGTGTTCCCAAGCGGTCCCCCATCTAAGTACTGTCCTGGCTCTACGATGCTTAACTTCGGTGATCGAACGAGAACCGGTGTTTCAGCGTGATTTGACCGTAAGCAACCCTTACCTCACAGTCCAAACCTTACCCCACAGTCGGTGGGGGGGGGTGTAAACGGTAGTGTCAGAGCTATGCCGCCCGGAACTTCGTTCCTGGTAGGGCCACCCAAGGCGGACAGGTCTGACACGCACGCCGGCTAACAAGGGCTCTGGTGAAAATCCAAGGAGCGTCTGCATCGGCAACCGGCGGCTTCTGGTCGTTCCTGTCTCTGCGTCTGTAGGAACCCCGCGTCAAGCAAGAACGTTATCCGAGTAGGCCTGGGTACCCTACTTCTGTAATTTATCCCAAGAATCTTCTTCTCATAACAGGAAGAAGCCGGCTCAATCCGCCCAGGGTGAATGCCGCATCAGTACAGTACAGTACAATAGCCTCTAGTATAATTACAATTATAACCGTTACCGCCTACGAATAACGGTTAGGAAAATATATCAGGTCATGCCATAAGTTCTGTCCGAATTTTAACTTTTTGTTTAAATAAACGAAATATAAAGAGTATTTTATAATGTCTAATGGAGCTGAACATTATTTTTATGCATTTAAACTGATCAAATTTTATTTCAGAGAACAATAAAATTAAATTTTGTTTGATTAAAACCCTGCTTACATGGAAGAACCCAAGAATCATTTGAGGCACATAATGCTTCATGAGTATAGTATTTTTTTTCTGAAGATTTTTCTTGATATATAAAATTCATAAATTGTTTACCAATATATATATATATATATATATATATATATATATATATATATATGTGTGTGTGTGTGTGTGTGTGTGTATGATATACACGCACGAAATATTTTACGTACGTATAAGTATATTTCTTTTCACAAGTGTTATTAATACAGTGTTCAAGGTTATGAGACAGAGTGATATATTATATATATCATATATAAGTATCTGTTAGTGAATATATATATTCACAAATATACATATATATATATATATATATATATATATATATATATATATATATATATATATGTGTGTGTGTGTGTGAGTTCATCAATAAATATACCTAATTATTAATTTTTCTCTCAGAATTTTCACAACATAATTTACCTAACTTGGTATCGAACTCTGTTCATATCTATCTATCTATCTATCTATCTATCTATCTATCTATCTATCTCAGCCTAGTCATAATCTGTCTATCTGTCTCTATCTATTTATTAATTATATAACATATAAGATATATATATATATATATATATATATATATATATATATATATAGATAGAGAGAGAGAGAGAGAGAGAGAGAGATTTCATAATAAATACCTATTGTCCTACTCTTCTATTGAGCCCTTTTTTAAATTGATGTTATGAACTTTTAAATTTATATTCTTTTTGTATTTATATATATATATATATATATATATATATATATATATATATATATATATGTAACAATGGAAATGGAAAATGAAATGAAACAAGACGGTAGCGAGAGAAGAAACAGGAATTGCAGAATCCTACTGAGAATTGCAGAATCTAAGGGACGTCTTTAAATCTGTGTCAAATATCTCAGCTGCCATGTTTTCTTCCAACGGCAACCTCCTAAAGGACAAAAAAAAGAGATCATAAAACCCTGGGCAGAGCATTTCTGAAATGTTCTAATGTTGACAAGAATCGTATTAACATCTTACCGCGTAGGTCTATTCTTGAAGGGCTGTCACCTACTCCATCTATTGCTGAGATAAAAAAGGGACATAAAACAAGCGACAAACATGAATTCTCCCCGGTAATGATGGCATACCAGCAGAGATATACAAAAATGGCAGCAATCTCCTGGGTCGTAAACTCTGTGATCGCTTTTCTTTAATATATGATTCCGGTTGTTCCTCGGGAACATAAATTGTCCATCTCTAGAAACACAAAGGTAATAAATGTGAATGTGAGAATCTATGAAGATATCTCCTTTCTGTAGGTTGCTGCGGAAAATCTTGGCAGGATCATTTTGAACACAACACTTCTTTCTAGTCGATTCAGCTTCGTCTTAATCTCAGTACGGCTTTCGGTGTAGCGGAAGCCCTGTTGATTTTAGAGGCCACTACAGGAGAAAGCACAAAAACGTGACAAGCATTCATTTGGTATTTGTTGTAGATTCCGAGATGAAATTCGGTCTCCAATGAATGACAAACGCAGGAATTATAGATAAGAAATTAAATGTATTTACACAATAATACAATGAGTAATACTGTTAGTAAATCCAGGAACGCGGTTAGTGGCAATAATATATATATATATATATATATATATATATATATATATATATAGTCTCGAAGCAGGACTTCCTTAGAGTCTACGTGCTTGTAACTGACTTCTACAAGCGGTTACCTCACACTATTACTTTACCTCCAACTCAATCACAATCTCAGTCTTCTCTACTCAGATTGACTGTCTAGGGGCATCATGTGACACAAGGTCGGTTATTTATTGTGGGTTCTCCGATCCCGTGAGCTCGGCCCAAAAATATGCCCATTGAACCCGTATAAACGGGCTCAGGGCCGGTTTACCTTCCCGAACGAGGCTCCGCCCCTCTGCGTAGCCTCGTTCGGGTTCCTCCCCGCACGAAGGCAGAGAGTTCAACCGAACAGACGGTTCAGAAGTGAACGACAGAATGGCTGTCTAACTCTGGGTATTTAACGGCAGCAGTACAAATACATACTGGTCGAGTCCACTTGTATGAAAAAGGGGTGGGCCCCATAACATTATTTTTGTTGATCTCACTAAAGCCTTTGGTACCGTTTCAAGGGATGCTCTTTGGGTCGACCTTAGTATTCTGAAACTATACTTTCTCTCATCATATCTTTGCATAAGGGGATGATGACTTCAGTTAGATCCACTGTAGAGTTGTCCAACCTATTCATTGTCTTGAATAGAACAAAACAAGGTTATGCTGTCGCACTCTTCTTATTTAATTAGTATTTTTCTGTCATGCTGGAAACATCCGAGTTTCTCTTTTATCCATAGGATTGTTCCCCCCACGAGCCACAACTACTATCCCCAAGCAGCTCCATCCAGAGCATTAGAAGCCTGTTCAAGCAAGAATATACAAGTGATAGAAATTATTAGGAGGATTTGCAATAATCATAATTAAGTAATTCATCGAGTCTAGAAGAAACCTTAACAGAATGTAGTAAGCACTGGACGGCCGTTTCGTCCTATATTTGGGACTCATCAGCAGTGCGCATCCACTACCGAGAATTGAAACCCGGGCAGTTAGGTTGTCAAGCGAACATCATACCAACTGTTCCAATAGGCCTCGGTGACGAAGAGATTGCAAACCAGACTCAATATAGTGCCGCTCGCTCACATATTCCGTGGCGAAACTCGACTGAGATTCTCTGTAACCATAGGACTGTGCCCCCTGGAGCCACGACTACTATCACCAAGCCGCTACCTACTGTAGCATTAGAAGCCGGTTTAAGCGATGATAAACACAAATAGTAATTAGTCGGAGGATTTGATAAATTTAATTAATTCATCGAGTCTGATAGAAACCTCAACAGAATGCAGTAAGCACTGGACGGCCGTTTCGTCCTATATTTGGGACTCATCAGCGGTGCGCATCCACTACCGAGAATTGAAACCAAAACAGTTACGATAGGAGGCAAACGCCATACCAACGAGTTTCTTCTATCTATCTATCTATATATATATATATATATATATATATATATATATATATATATATATATATATATATATATATATATATATATATATATATATATATGTAGTTATAGAGATGTACGGTTTGCCGTTTTCTGTTTTAAAATGAAGTTTTAAGCGTTTGACTTCTCTGTTTCATGGATCTTCTTGTTTTCTAATGAAAATGGCACTAACCAGATAATTTATTACTTATCTATCTATCTATCTATCTATCTATCTATCTATCTATCTCAGTCTGTTTTCCTTCCTTCTATCTATCTATCTATCTATCTATCTATATATATATATTTATATATATATATATATATATATATATATATATATATATATATATATAGGCGTCATCTGTAATTCTTTCTTCTTGATAACTAAATAGAGCGAGGAAGAGAAGAAAAATAGAGGCTTCCTTATTTGCCTCTATTTTTGAAGCAAGGAAATGAAGAAGTTGTTAATGTAAACGATCAGAAAAAAAAGACAGTGACAAATGAAGAAGGTGATAATAAAGTGCTAAGAAGAAAATCAAACGACGAAGAAAAGCAAAGAAAGCAGGAAGGAAAAAGTAAAAGGAGAGAAGAAGGGCGAGAGAGAGAGAGAGAGAGAGAGAAGAAGGAAGGTCGAAAAAGGAAACAAATGTATCAAATTAAGAAAGAAGAGGAGAATAAAACCTAGAATGAAAGAAAGAAAAAAGGCAAAGGAATAAAATCCGAAGAAAAATACGAAGAAGAAAAAATAAAACAGAAAAGAAAAAGAAAAAAAAAGCAGACGGTTAAGAAAGAAAGGAAAGGGAAAAAATAAAAATAAAAGAAAGAAAGAAAGAAACAATCAAAGAGAAGGCAAGTGAAGAATAAGTTTAAAGAAAGAAAAAGAGTAAAGAGAAAGAAAGGAATAAAGAAGGAAATGAAACGACAACAACAGACGAAAGAAAGAAAGAACGAAATAAACAAAAAAATAAAGAACGAAAGAAAGAAAGAAAGAAAGAAAGAAAGAAAGAAAGAAAGAAAGGAAAAGTAAGAAAAGAAGGCAATGACAGACAGAAATAAAGTTCAAAGAAAGAAAATGAATAAAAAGAAAGAAATAGACAAAGACAGAAGAAAGAAAGAAAGAAAGAAAGAAAGAAAGAAAAAAGAAGAAAGAAAGAAAGAATGAAATAGGCAAGGACAGAAGAAAGAAAGAAAGAAAGAAAGAAAGAAAGAAAGAAAGAAAGAATGTAATAGGCAAGGACAGAAGAAAGAAAGAAAGAAAGAAAGAAAAAAGAAAGAAAGAACGAAAGAAAGAAAAAAGATAGAAAGAGAGAATGTAATAGGCAAGGACAGAAGAAAGAAAGAAAGAAAGAAAGAAAGAAAGGAAAGAAAGGAAAGAAAGAAAGAAAGAAAGAAAGAAAGAAAGAAAAAAGAAAGAAAGAACGAAAGAAAGAAAAAAGATAGAAAGAGAGAATGTAATAGGCAAGGACAGAAAAAAAAAGAAAGAAAGAAAGAAAGAAAGGAAAGAAGAAAGAAAGAAAGAAAGAAAGAAAGAAAAAAAGAAAGAAAGAAAGAATGAAAGAGGCTAACTATATTACAGTAATAAAAAGGTGAGAAAAAAAAAGAGAACGAAGAACGAGGGAAAAGAAAGAAAGAAAGAAAGTAAGAGAAAGATGGAAAAGAAAAAGAAATTTAGAAAAGGCAATGTTAGAAATAAATAAATTTCAAATTAAATGAATAAAAAGAAAGAAAGGAAGAAATAAAGGAATTGACAATGACAGAAGAAAGAAAGGCGAGCAAATAATTAAATAAAGAAAGAAAGAAAAAAAGAAAGAAAGAAAGAAAAATAAGACAATGACTGAAGCAAATACATTTCAAAGAAAGGCAAAGTATGAAAAGAAGGATTTTCGCACAGTAGGTTGCCATTTCTTTCTGCGGTAGACTTGTTGCCATCCAAGGCTATAGGACTCATTCTGTCCTGTTATTCAAATCATAGCGAAGGGAAGAAGTGATAAAGCCAGTAAAGTGCCATCACGTAATACACACTTGGGCGATCATGTCTCTTTCAATTCATGACTGACTAGGCAGAAGATTTTCCTGTAGTAGGTTGCCATTTCTTTCTGCGGTAGACTTGTTGCCATCCAAGGCTATAGGAGCCATTCTGGCCTGTTATTCAAATCATAGCAGAGGGAAGAAGAGATAAAGCCAGTAAAGTGCGATCACATGATACACACTTGGGCGATCATGTCTCTTTCGATTCATGACTGACTAGGCAGAAGATTTTCCCACAGTAGGTTGCCATTTCTTTCTGCGGTAGACTTGTTGCCATCCAAGGCTATAGGACCCATTCTGTCCTGTTATTCAAATTATAGCCGAGGGAAGAAGAGATAAAGCCAGTAAAGTGCCATCACGTAATACACACTTGGGCGATCATGTCTCTTTCGATTCATGACTGGCTAGGCAGAAGATATTCCCACAGTAGGTTGCTGTTTCTTTCTGCGGTAGACTTGTTGCCAACCAAGGCTATAGGACCCTTTCTGTCCTGTTATTCAAACCCTAGCTGGGAGTGGAAAGGGTTGATTGGTACCTTTCTCAAGCTTTTTGCACGTGAGTGAATGCAATTTGGACTCGGTTCTCCATTTGATACACCACACCACACCACACCACACCACGCCACTCCACACCACACACACACACACACACCACCACCACCACACCATACCATAGCTCACATTACCGTACCAATTCACCCCACTGCACCCCACCAAACCATCCACCACCCCACACACCATACGTGCTTGTTAGTTATATATTGATAATATACTGATTTCGATGGATAACAATCTCACATTTTGTCAGATATTATTTGACAGACCGACGCGAAAATATTTCTTTTTCTCCTTCTCTATCTGTCTCTATGTCTGTCCAACTCTCTCTGTCTCTGTCGCTACCTTCAAAATCTCACAAACGCAACCATCTCTGACCGTACCCTACTCCAACAACCTTCAAGAGAAACAGGAACTGAGACCAATGTCTTTCCATACAACAACTCCAACCAGCATCAGTGTAGTTATCCGCTGCCTCGTCGCCCGAGCCGCGTCAATTCTACTCTGCTGTCGACCCAGTCTTCACGAAGCGAACTCTTTCCTCCATGTCCGCAAGCTCCTCATTAAATTCGCAGTCGAACGGACAACAACAGCGTTCTTGTGATTTACAAGCAACGCGCTTGCCTAATATTGAATTCGTCACGCAGATGCCATGTTGAATCTCTCAAAGCTGAAGGGCAGACGATGGTATCACGACACATGGATGACTTCTGACTGGGGAGGGCTCTCCTGTATTATTGTATCTGACAATATTGAAATTTGAAACGGAATGTTAGTAGGAGCCGATTTGATTGGCCTGTCGTTTCGACTTGGTATTTACACACAATAAATTTTATGGATTTTACAAGAACACACACACACACACACTCTCTCTCTCTCTCTTTCATTCTCTGTTTATTTATTTATCTTCATTAGTGGAAGATGCCTCCCAGAATCTAAGCAAAGTACTGACTGGGCATTTACGTTGGGAAAAAACTGAGCTTTATGCCATATGACATCACGAACGTGAGCAGCGTGAAATTTCCGGGGGCAGGAAGAAGGCTTTCGGAAACTATCACTCAGGAGACATATTGAATCAACTATATATTTTTATATATAGTATCGGTAACAAATCCATTAGTATATAATCCAAGTGGATCCTAGTAATATCAAATATTGAAACGTATCCGCAAAAAGAGCTTAATGTATTTATTATAACAGAACATATAAATTACACGACAAAATTATCTCATATGTGGCGGTTGTGGTGGGGGTTATAGATTTATTTCAACCAACGAAAAGTACGTTAGTCTTATTCAACCCCGGTGTACAGACTGAGTCGTACTGGAACTAGAAATTTTAAATTTAACCTTGATAGCAGTCAAAATACTGATACAGACTTTATCCATTTCAATCTTTCAGTCAGACGAGATGCCCGAGTTTATATATATATATATATATATATATATATATATATATATATATGAAGACATTTTTATATTTGTACGTTTTTTTATAGATACAAATATTTAAGTATATGCTCTGTTTATAATAAACAATATTAAACAACATTTACCGGCCTGAATGTCCAAGAAATTGTCATAGAAATTTGAACCTGTATCCTATACGGAACCGTCATTAGCCTTAAGCGATTGGGTCACAGAGGAGCGTTCGATTAACAAGGTCTATTTTACTGTTTTTAAACTACAATCTTCCACGATTCTCTCCCGTAACATTCATATCTGCTCATGGCCTATCCAAATGTAAACAAATGACGTCACACATTATAAAATGGACAAAGTCAGACAATTATTTTAAGACATTTTTATATTTATACATTCTTTTTATAGATAAACATAAAAAATGTCTTAAAATAATTATGTCTTTGTCCATTTCATAATATATATATATATATATATTGCTATGTCCGTGTAGCGTTTAATTTATTGTAATGTACTCGTCATCTCTGATGATGGGTTATGTATGACGAAAGCTTAGATAGGATTAAAAAATATATATCAATATGGTAATTTTCTTTCGTCTTTCAATGGTATTAAGCTTATCAGATGATATGAAAGGAATTTGCTTAAAATAAATAGACAAAACTTGTCTATATTATTTAATGAAGCATGCATTAATATATATATATATATATATATATATATATATATATATATATATATATATATATTAAATTTGTAAAGTATTTTATATTTTTAATTTAACAGAAATTTTTCTTAATATTTTAATCATTTTAACCTAAGAAAGGCAATAAAACCACTAAGATGCAAGGAATTGCTATAAGTGGAAGAATACGAGGAAAAAAACATTATTAGAGAGAGAGAGAGCAATAACAGAACAAGTATTAAGAAAAGAGAAGATGAATTATTCTTCTATTTTATAGAGGACTCTTTTTTCGTTTATTGGAGGCAAGTGGATCCAGCAGCTAAGTTCTTGAAAGAAAACTACCTACACATATAATTTTTGGAGGCTTGTGTAGAAACAAACTGGTACACCGATATATTTAACTCAGACGTGTGCTTCTCCCAAGGCTATATGACCAAATCTTTCCTGCTATTTACTCATATATATATATATATATATATATATATATATATATATATATGTGTGTGTGTGTGTGTGTGTGTGTGTGTGTGTGTGTAGAATGGAGATCAACGTGTTTTAGTGGACTCAGCAATTTTCAATCTGCTTGCCTGAATCATCTTCAAGAAGCGAGAGCAAGATCTAAAAGGTTACCCAATCTAACAGTGATCTCATCTCACAATCCTCACACTTGCTCCATATGTGGCCTCCTTTGTAAATCACTAGTGGGTTTAAATGCCACTTAAGATTCTCGCATAAACTTTCATAACTGAATCAATAACCTGTCAGATCCTCATACGTCGAAACCGAAGGGAGAATCCATTATATATATATATATATATATATATATATATATATATATATATATATATATATATATATATATATGTATATATATATTGATATTTTGTGGTTATGAATATATATGCATACATACATACACCTATATAGATTTACATATAAAAATTCCAAGAGGATAGAATCCAGGTAGAACTCAATCTCCAGGAGAGAGTAAGAATATAATAAAAAGGCTTAAACATTAATATTCCATGATTGTAATTTATTACATTGGGATCGTAATTACGATCTAATTCATCAAACCTACAAATTCAAAAAGAAATCGGAAAAAATAACTCCGGTAATAAAAGCTAAAATTTAGTGAGAGTGTATGTATGAGAGTGGGTGGACGAATGTGAGAGGTAAATGGAAGCTCTAGAGTAGTGTAACGGACGAAAGAAGAACAGGAAGACATAAAAATGAAGGTGGGGGATTAAAATTTAACAGAGAGAAGTTTTAAAGAGAGGAGTCTAAAAGACGGTTTAAGTGAGTGAGATACAGTTAAATATGAATTATTTTCCGATGCATAATTCATTACTGAATCGCTGACCTAAATTAAATTAAAAACTGACACCGGAAATGGTTTTATACATTTGTGGTGACACTACGCACAATAAAAAACGATATAATCTAAACTTAAAATCAGAAAATGAGAGAGAGAGAGAGAGAGAGAGAGAGAGAGACAAGAAAAGAAAAAAGGAAAGAAAAAGGGAAGATGGGGGGGAGCAACTAAAACCGAAGGCCATTTATAAAAAAGCCGCTGTGCAATCAAGAAAATTTGAGAAAAGTAATATCACCTACAGGTTACAAATTTAAAACAAACATAAAAATAACGAATATTTAATCTATTAAGGACCTACTATTTCTAGGGCCAAAAACTCATAGGTATATACACACATACAAAACAACTTTATATAGGCTCCTGAAAAATTAATTTCAGTTGAGCTCTCTGGGGAGGATGTGTGGGTTTGTAAACAGTGACTATTACGGCAAAAGCGAATTGAGTCACTGTCGGTCACTGTGTATGTTTATCAAAAAATAAATACGCTAAAAATTCACCTTCATCTCTGCCGTGGCTTAGTGGTAGAATCTCCGACTGACATCAATTCGGGTTTCGATTCTAGCTAGAGGCAACCGGATGTCAGCCACACTGAAGAGCTGTGAACCAGCGAAACAGTCTGTCTGTGGATGACTTTATATATATATATATATATATATATATATATATATATATATATATATATATATATATAGCAAGAAAAACATACATATATAAATATATATATATATGTATATATATATATATATATATATATATATATATATATATATATAAAATAGTAGGAAATATATATATATATTACGTTGGTAAAAATAATGACGTAATAATGTCGTTTTGTG